GTGTAGACATAATGGATGGATGTTTAACCTGTTTGTCCCACAATGCTTCCAGCTGCACTTCTAAAGGTTTCTCTGTCACAGGCAACTCCATGGAGAAGCTCCGCCCCTTCAGGGTGGTGCCACTCTACAGCGGGGGAACCTTCGACAAAGACTACAACAAGAGGTACCAGCCAATCAAGTTCTCCGTCCCGACGTCAACAAAAAAGGTATCGGATCAGGATCAGCAGATACTCACGGCCCCGTATGCTCAGCATCTCATTGGCTGCCGGTCTGTTTCCAGGTGGAGCTCTTCGCCGTCATCACAGGCCACGGCAGCGACGAGAACGGCTGCGGAGAATTCTGCGTCACCTCCCACCACTTCCTGATCAACGCTGTTTATAACAACAGCCGCATCTTTGATTCCGCAGGTGAGGAAATGACGCTTTCTGTCATTTACACTGGACTTCCTCAGCAGGTGAAGTCTGGGAAGTTATCATGAAGTCTTTAGATGTTTAAATCACCAGAATTGACTGTAAGGACGTCTGATAAAGTTGAGTTCATTGAAAAATGTAAATTTAAACAGACAGAACTAAAGAACAGAACAGCTGCTAAATAGATTTGAGAGCAGAAAGTTTCTGAAGTCAAGAAGCAACTTAAAAACCCAACATTTACAAGTTTTGTTTTGTTTTTGTTTTTTTTAAACAAAAATTGTATTTCTTGTTTGAAAACTGACTGAATGAGCCAAAGGCCAACATGTCTGTAAATAAAACAGACAAAAATGTCATCAACAAACTTGTGGATATTTAAGATTAGATCCTCTCACCTGCTGTTCTTTTGTCTTCGCATAATTTTTTTTCAATAAAGTTTTTGTTCTGTTAAATTCAGAAAATAATGAAAAATGTCTTTTACACGTTCACAGAGCTCAGGTCGACCTTTTCTAGTGTCTTGTGTCGTCACAGTTTTCAGAAATTCAGTTTACGAAGAAAAGAGAGAACAGAATTTATTAAGGAATCCCTAAAATCAACAAAAAAAAAATAGCATGACTTGTAAAATTATGTAAATTGTGAAGTTGTTGTCAATTTCATTTTCTCTTAATCAGCCGGATGTTGAGCCGCTGGTTAAAGTTTAATTTGTTGTCGTTATCATTTATTTAACCATCATATTCAGCTAAAGTCAGTTAAATTCTTTTTTTTTTTTTTGATATAAAGCCAAATCACAGCATCTCAGGACACTTTCTATAGATCAAGACTGTACAATATGATATTATAGAGAGAAAATAACACAATAACACAATAAACAATGAGCAAGTACTAGCAAGGAGGAAGAACTCTCAATACAAAGATGGTCATTAAGGGTTTTGGATGTTAGGAGAAGGATTTTAAATTAGATTCTGGATTTTACAGGAAGCCAATGAAGAAAAACTATAAAAAAAAAAAAAAAAACCTTTAGATATATGATCGCTCTCACTGGTTCCTGTCAGTACTTTGGATCAACTGGAGACTTTTCAGACAGTTACTGGGACTTGTCCAGCCCTGAAGTAACTGATGCAGGGACCAGTTTATCAGCATCGCGCTAATATTTCTCATTTTGACAGTATATATATATATTTATCTATTGGGACCAACAGGAACAGCTCTGGGCTGTGCGATGCGGGTCAAAGAGGGCGCCGTACCAAACGAACACGGCACGTGGCTGTACGGACGAGGAGGCTGGTGTGACGGCCTACAGGTGAACCCCTGGAGGATGGACATCACCAAGCAGGTCAGAAATACATCAGTTAACATTCAGCGCGTTCACTGTCCTGTAGCTGCACAGGGTGACGTTTTTTACAAATACTAATTGATTAAATTAATATTTGTCATGGGCTGCCAGGTGGCTCGGTGGTTAGCACCGTCGCCTCGCAGCTCGAAGGTCGCCGGTTCGTGCCCCGGTGGGGACACCTGGGATCTTTCTGTCTCCATGTTCTCTCCGTGCAGTCCCTGCTTCTTTCATTTTGTCCTGAGCAGTGAGCAGAACATATCGGAGTGTTTGAACTGTTGCACCACCGTGGGCTTCAGATTTCTAACGACAACCATCGAGCTGCTATAAAAATTAGTTTCAGATATTTAGTTTCCCCTCAGGACTGATCATAATAACCTGTGTGATTCCTGAACTTACCACAGAGCGCCATCTTCTGGTTGAAAATGTAATTCTCTGGCACCATGTTTTATGATCAAACAGCTGCACCTTTAATGACTTTCTATTCAGCTGTACTTTGGATTTAATTTACAAATGCTGGCGTCTCCATGTGAGTGCAGAATTTATGTCACTGCAGCTTCACAGAGCGCTGCGTATGTCTGTTTAGGTACTATATATTATAATTATAATGTTTTGTGAAACTGTAGTGTTTGTCCTGAGCCAGCTTCAGATGTCGTTAGACTTCTGCTGTAAAAGCCTCAGAGCCACCAGAGGCTCTTTATCGCCGTCCTGACTGGTTTCTGCTCGAGCTCAGATCACTTCTGCACATTGCAGCCACTTGAGTAACAAGCGTTTGTGTTTCACCTGTACTGTGTCTGTAAAGACCTTTTTAACAGCAGACATTTTGGCGTGTCGTCGTAGGATTAGGAGTCAACCGATTATCAGACTCTGCATTTTCTTTTTTATTGTAATAATTGTGGGTTTTTGTTTATTTTTTGTGTTTTTTTTTATGTTATTTTAATACATATTTCGTGTTTAAATGTGCTGTTTTGGTTCTCACCGGGTTACTCATCCTGATTAACAGCCAATCGCTTCTTTCTCTTGTAAAACATAAATAAGACATTTCGTTTAGGTTTTGTGTTGGAGTTTGTGTTCTTCTACATGTGACAGCAAGATTTTGATAAATGTCACTTCTACATATTGGTCATCAGTCTCCTTGACTACTAATAATCATATCAGCTCTGAAACCACTTTATCGGTCGACATTAATAAAAACGAGTTTCCCGTTCTGTGTTTTTTGTCCGGTCTGTCTCACTGGGACAAAATGTCAGCAGTGAAACAACAACATTCATGACTTCATTAGTTAAAGTTGTTGTACTAATGCCGTCTCTGTGGTCTTCCAGCTGGACATGAGCGGCTCTGAATCCAACACCATCGTATACTTCGGCCTGTTCGGCGGTCGGGACCCTAATCCAGCTCAGAAGCCGGGTTACATCATCATGTCCTCTTTTCTCGTCTGCTACAAGTGACGGCACTCAGAACGCGGATCTGAACAAATGAATGGATGTTTTACTGAATGTACAATCAAAGATTAAATTTGTATTTTCTCACTGCTTTTTTTTAAACCTTTATTTATTCCTCTCTGATGTTAATGCTCCCTGCAGAGGATAGTTCGAGGAGCTGAGAGAGTCATCAGAGTTTCCCTCGCCTCTGTCCAACAGCTTCTCCAGAACCGCTGGAGGAGCAGGACTCTGAACATTGTCACACCCTCTCCATCAACTGTCTGAACTGCTGCCATCAGCCAAACGTTTCCGGAGCGTTAGAGGAAGAACCTCCAGAATGATCAGCACGAGCTGTCAGAATGCTGAACTGCTGATCCAGATATGCAAACACTTGTTTATTTAAATTGCTTTAAGTTACTGGATGCTGGAGAAATGATCTCTCATCCTGCCTGTACTGCTGTTGTATGTACAGCAAAATGACAATAAAACTTGATTTGATTTGGTGCAAAAATATCACCGGTCACTCTCACCCGGCGCCACCGACCGTTTGCATTTTTCTCAAGATGTTACCCTGAAGTCAACAAGAAGAATCCTGACAGCTGAACGGGCTCTCCATACGGTTCCTTTGTGTCTAGAGCAGAAGGTTCATTGTTCTGAGAGCGGCCTGTCCTCCATAATTACATGTGATCATGTCCAGTTTGAAACTTTGGGTTGAAGCAAGTGTTTCTTGGTGAGTCATCTTCCTTTTGTGCTTCTTTTTGGAGGCGAATCCTCTTAACTTCAGCAGCAGAGCAGCTGCTTCTCACTTTGTTATTTATCGTTAGTTCAGCGAGCATGTGCAGACTGCAGGTGTGCAACACTATCTGAAGTTTAAACTGTTATTGCAAAGCTTTCCTCTGTTAAAGCACTGAAATTATGTCCTCGGCTAGATATTTTATTTTCAGGTCCGTTGCCAAAACACAGCCAGCATTATTTTTATTTGTGTGAAAAACTGCCTCCGTTACATCTATTTAGTGACCTACCATAAGGGCACTTACCTCCAAAGCATGTCATTAAGAAGCATCCGTTTATTTTCTTAGTTTTTTATTTAAGGACATTACATGGTATTAAAAAAAACACAAGCATTAAAGGCCCAGTGTGTAGAACTTAGTGGCATCTAGTGTTGAAGCTGCAGAATGCAACCAGCTGCATGCAAGCTGTGCATCTACTCGAGTACAATGTTGAGGTACTTTTACTTTACATTTTATGCTATGTCATACTTCTGCTCCACCACATTTCAGAGACAAGTAATGTACCTTCTACTGCATTCGTTTTAGAATGGAGATTTTACACAATTAATCATTTAATAAGCTTTTAAAATCCAACATATAGGCTAAAGATTAAACCAGTGGTGTGTAGTCTGGGTCCCATTTCAGATGTCTGTTGTTAACAGCTCTACTAAATAGATTTTCTCTGTTAAGTTTCTCACATGGTTTCATTTCCATAAATGTTTAAATGATCTAATATCGCACCAAAAAAAAAAAAAAAAAGAACTAAATATTACAGTAAAACTAAAAAACTGAACAGATTTTATTTTTTTTCTCCTCTTCTGTCCCATTAGTTATGCGTCCAGCCGTCAGACTCGTCTGCTGTTCCTGGATATAAAACTGGATGTAAAGTCATTCAAACCTGCAGCAGCTAAACCGTAACCTGCTGCTGACACACTGAAGCTTCAATATTTATAATCTAATGTCAGATATAACAACATATCAGTCAGTGGGACTAAACCAGCACCTTTACTTTCATACTTTAAACACATTTTGCTGATTTGCACAGTGACATAAGTAGGATTTTTTTTTTTCTGTGTTGGTATTTTTACTTAAATAAAGGACCTGAATACTTCTTCCACCGCTGGCTGAATACCACTCAACTCATCCTTCTGTTCTGAGAATGAAAGAGACTCTACGGTGGCCAGTAAAACCCTAAAAGACCCTCTGTAGAGTTTGGTTTGTCCCTTCCAGGCTACTGTAGGAACATGGCAGCGCAACATGGTGGACTCTGTGGAAAAGCACCAAGGTAACACACAACTATTCTTGTTTTTAGACAATACAGCATGATTCAAACATAATGATTATTGTTGTATTTCTGCTAAGAGTCCTCTGAATCCTGCACACTGGACCTTTCATAGTAAAAAAATACATCATTGCATCTGAGAGTACAAAACGGTTACTGTTGTAATAGAAACGTTAGTGGTTACAGAGTCGGAGCTTATTATTTTTTATTCAACAGAACTGCTCAGAAGTAGCATCAGATGAGCTGTTTTCTCTCCATTAGCTTGGTTCAGGCACAAAACAAATTCCCCTGGCCAACAGAAACAACATTTCATGATGCCTAACTTGCTATAATTTAAAAACTAAAACTCCACTTCAGGGTGATTTGGTTTAAGACGTCTCCCTATCCTTGTCAAGGCAGCTACAAGAGAAGCACTACGGCACTGAAGTGAACTGTTTGGCAAAGTCACGTGTGAGGAAAGAGCAAAATGTTTTCTGAGCTTGATTTCCATACGGGCAGGTGCAGGTTAGACCTTGACGCAGGTTTCCCTGCAGCTCTTCTCAGTCTCAAACTGGTTGTCGTTTCCTAAACAGCCTCCGAACCAGAACTGAGCGCAGCCGTTGGCTGTGGCGTCGTAGTACCACTTCACCACGTACTCCCGACACGGTCCTGGATCCAGGATCTGTCTGCAGCGCTCTGCTGGAGGCGAGAAAACACAACGAGTGTCAGAGTTAACAAAAGCAGGAGTCTACCGCCGTGCAAGCAAACCACAGAGGACGCTCACTCTGCTCGTATTTATACATTTGCATCAAGTGCGAAGTACAGCAAAGGATGACTGGAAAACCACTGGTTGTTCTTGGACATAAACGAAAACCAAGATATTTCACCAGAAACACACCAATGTCATCGTCATGGTGGCACCACACGATGGAGGTCTGAGGCTCACAAAGGTCATCAGGATTCATCCTCTGATGAACACAAATGTGCCCCAAATTTCAACTCAGTACAACCAACAGTTCTGTTGTTGGCTGCCAGTTGGTCGCCCTGGAGGAGGTGGTGGAGCAGAGGGCGCTGACCAAACTGCAGGTCATCATGGACATCAACCCTAACACCTCGCACCTCCTCCATAAAGCTGTGGACAATCTGAGGAGCAGCTTCAGCAACAGACTGATACGACCTTCTGCTCCAAGGAACGTCACAGGAGGTCTTTCCTCCCGACAGCAATAAGACTCTTTAATGCTTCAATCTAAGCACATTCTGTTCATTTACACATTTCTGTATCTCTCTGTACATTTTATTGACTTTCTTCTATATTAAATTTCGATATTTTTATCTTATTTTCATTTTATTCAGTTTAAACCAGCATTTCTTCCTCCTCCAGACTCTGAGCAGTTACCTGATGCGTAGGCGTCAGAGGGAGGAGGCGGTGGAGACGGCGGCGGCGGCGGCGTCTTCTTCTCAGGTGGGGCCTTCAGAGTGGGAGCAGCCGGTCCCATGGCTCCGGTCAGCACCGTGCGATGTGTGGGGTTGTTGGTGTCGAGCTGTGGGAGGAACTCTGTCACCGGCCTGAAGGGCTCCCTGTCGAAGAACGGAAACCTCTGAGTTTCTGAGGCGGTCCTGTCGTCCGTCTTGGGTTTGAGCGGAGGGACCGGTTCCCTGTCGGGGTGAGACGCTGGAGCACCGGGCTGCAACGGTGGAGGGAAGGTTGGTGTTAATCTTTCCTCTAGTGTAGGTGGACATATGCTGAATAAAGTCAAACACTGCAAAAAAGTATTTACTGGCTATGAAAGAGCTATTTAAAATGCCCTCTGTGGTGACATGAACAGGCTTTGGTTTAATTATTTAGACCAAATTAAAGTTTAGAGCAGTTGAAGTATTTCCAAAGTAATTCCAGTTTGTTATGAATGTCTGTCAGTCTCAGTTACATTTACTCGAGTACTGTGCTGAAGTACAAACTTGAGGTGCTTGAGAGTTTTTATGTTGTTTTCAGCTTCACAACATTTCATTTCATTTGCCTTCACTCTGAGTCAGCTGGGATAGGCTCCAGCAACCCTAATGAGGATTAAGGTGTAGAGATGATGGATGGATCTTCCAGTGATTATTTGGAATAATCAATGAATTCCTTGGTTAATGACATTTCTAAAAATGCTTGCCCCAGCTGGCGTCTTCAGATGTCTAGTTTTCTTCGACCAAAAGTCAAAATATTCCAAAATGTTTAGTTTCTACCTATATATGACAAAGAAAAACAGGAAATTTTCTCCATATCTTGTGAAATTTCATTAATTTTTGCTTGATAAACAACTGAAATTATTAATTAGACAAGTAACTCTTTTGCTGTTGATGGATTGATTGATGGTTAATTGATTTCTTTGTTATTGTCACAAGTAGTTTCATCATTTGAATACATTTTCCTGATTACAAACTTAAGTCCTTTACTGGTACTTAACTTTTACTGGTAACTAAAAGTTTTCATGTTGTAGTTTAAGCTCCTATAACAGATTTATCCGATTCAGTCGTGATTTAAATAGTGACTGAGACTTTTACGAAGTTTTGTATCAGCTGATCAAGTAAATATCAACATATTTCACTTGATAAATATAAACTTTGACCTGCTGGTGGCGCTAGAGGAAGGTCAGTTGATTCCTAAAGTCATTGGGATGTTTCATCTGCTCACCATGAATGTCTGTGTTTATTTACTTAGTCTTGTCTGGTTATTGTAAGCTAACAGAAGGAGGTTGAAACAGCGCTGGGTTGTTGTCCTCACCACCATCTGAACTCTCCTGAAGTCTCCGGTGAAGGTCGGCGTGTCCGTGTCCGTCCTGTACGACGGTTCCCGAACGTTGCCGGAGACCTCTGGGATTCCTGGAGGGAGTCTGGAGCTCGGGACGGAACTGAACAAACGTCTGTTTCCGTCTTCACAAATATGACTCAGCAGTTTTTTCTCCAGAGCTGCAAAACCAGAAAACCACGATAGTGATTATACACAAATGTGACTATATATTATAGCATAGCATAGTGTAGTGTAGTGTAGCATAGTATTGCATAGTATAGTTTAGTACAGTGCGATACTGTGCAGTACAGTGTGGTTCAGTATAGTACAGCATAGCATAGCATAGCATAGCATTGCATAGCATAGTATAGGATCTTATAGTACAGTGTGGTTGGTTTGATTCCATCTCTGTAGATTTTCGATAAATCAGGTTTCCAGTACTTTGCGTGATTCACACACCGCACCATCTTCCCACAGTATAAAGTGCTCTCTGCATAGATATCACTACACAATGAAACTGTCACCTGGAAGGGATTTGAAGTCATCGATCAGGTAGACGTGGTCGCTGTCAGAGTCAGAGGCCATGAAGCTGAGCTCCTTCTTGAACTCTTCGTACAGGGGGTCGCTCTCGTTCACCACCCCGATCACAAACGTCTCGATGTTGCTCCCCTGAGCCTCCGTCACTGCGCTCTCCAGACTCACCGAGTCCCTCTTGTCAGCCTGACCGTCGGTGATGATGATGGCCACCTTCCTCACGCCTGCCCGCGCCGCCTTGAACACGTGGTTGGCCTGCTGGATGGCGCTGCCCGTGAACGTGCCCTCGCCCAGGTAGACCATGGAGCGCACAGAGGACTTGATCTCATCGCGGGTGGCTTCCTGCCCGAGGCTGACCACCACTATGTTGATGTGGCTGTAGAGGACCACGCCGACCCGCGTGGTGTCCCTGCTGACCGAGGCGCGGTCGATCAGCGCGTTCACAAAGTCTTTGATCACGTTGAAGTTTTCAGGGCCGACGCTCTCTGAGCTGTCGATCACGAAGACGAGCTCCAGGGGCGTTTGGCGGCACGTCACCCCACAGCCTGAGGAGACACAACCGGGGAATGTAGAGAGCTCGTATGTTCATTTAATGCAAACAAAGATTCAAATGTGACTTCATCAGCATCAACTTACTGCATATGGATCTCACTATTTTGATGATTTCATCCCTCTGTGGAAAGAGCGCAAAAGTTAAAGATATCTAGTTTTAAATGTAAAGATGTTCGGAGTTAAAATTACATAAAATTAAGAAAGGCAGTTAGTTCCTAGTGTGATTCTCACACTTGGGGGCATCGAGGGAGAGAAAAAGTACCAAGTAAAAGGTAGTTAAATGATTTATGTGAGGAAAGATTTATAGAAAATGTACATCAGTTTACATGTGATGGGTTGAAATGACTTTTTTGTTAACTGGTTTAGTTCAGTGAGCATCTCTTCATACTTACTGTGAGTCCGGGCTCTCCCTTCTGTCCCACCCTGCCCTGTCATTTGAAAGAGGTCATTATTTAGAAAGACATAATTTACTGCTACTCATCGAAGCATTTTGCAGTCAAGTGAAGAAAAAAGACAATGATTTCAACAAAAACCCAGCACCAGAGGTCCGACGGTCCCCGGCTCTCCGGCCTCCCCTCGGTCTCCCTTCTTGCCTTTCTCCCCTCTGAAGCCTCGGTCGCCCTGCAGGAGGAAAGACAGTTGTTTCTTCAGCCTGTGTGACAAAAAGTGATGACAAGGAGCATCCTGCTGTTGCACATATTCATACAACTTCCATCAAACACCACATTGTGATCTGCCCTGGCGCCACATCTTCAGCACTTCTTATTGCTTTAGCATCATTCCGGCTGATTAAGGACAAGTTTACTGATGTCATGTTTGCCAGGGCTTGTTAAATATTGAAATTATCCTCCAGTTCATTTAGCATACACAACGTTACCTTGTCTCCCTGCAGACCTTGTCCTGGAGGACCTCTGGGGCCGGGGATCCCCTGAAATCCAGGCTCCCCCTGCAGACAGTTCGAGTTACAGAAGAATTACAAAACAAGACGTAACTAATATAATTAAATCAGTAAAACGTTATTTTCAGCAGGACAAACCAACAAATCTTTCGTTAGAGTTCATCACTGTGTAAACAACGTGCTGTGTTATGTAGCACAGCAGCAGCAACAAAAACATCAAAAACACGTTTCAGCCACGAAAAAGAAAAAAAACAAATATGTAAAGTAGTATGATCACGTTTTAAAATTTAAAGGTCATTCTAAGCTGTTAAAAAAAACACTTTTTTTTTTAACCTCTAATTTTTTCTGGCCATTATTTGATAGTGCAGCAGCAGAGAGAGAGACAGCAAAGTGGGGGAGAAGAACCTGCGGCAAAGGGCCATGAGCGGGATTCGAACTCACGACCTCCACATTGGGGACTATAGCCGCTGTACCTGCTCAACCAGGTGATCTGTAGCGGCGCCCTTACCTCTAATTTTTTGAACAATTTACTTGTTTTTTCCTAAAAAGTGCTAATGATGAAAAAAAAAAGGTCAAAACTGTAAATATTATCCACATCAAAAAGGTGTTTAACTGTATTTAAATCAAGTAAAATATCCTTATTTTACATATAATTGATAATATTTTTTACCGCGTTCGCAGGTCTTAAACATGACTTTATTCCATCATGTTTAACGTATTTTTTCTGGCACATTTGCTGCCACATCTTTGCCATTTTTGTTTTAAATTTCTATTTTTACAGTGTGAGCACGTTCGTCTTCAGGGCTGTGATTCAGTCTGTTTAGGGCGCTGTTCTCCAATCACAATAATTACTTATTGGTGAGATGAGGTTGAGATAGATATTCATGAATAGTGTACATCATGCAGCTGCTGCTCAGACTGAATAAACGTAGACAGCAGGTGACAGCGGTACCTTCTGTCCTTGTATTCCTTCCCCGGGTAACCCCTGTGGACCAGGAGGTCCTATTTGGCCGACTGAACCCTGCAGAAAGAAATGTGAATTTCAAAGCATTAACAAGCAATATATTTAAAGCTTTCAGAAATAAGACAAAAAAGATTGTCTGAATACCTTTGAACCAATGAGACCGATTCCTGGTGGCCCGGCAGGTCCAGTAGGTCCAGGCAGGCCTCTGTCTCCCTGAAAGTGAAACCAAAATTATTAACTAAACATCCATCCATCATCTCTACACCTTCATCCTTCATGGGGGGCTGGAGTCTATCCCAGCTGACTCAGGATGAAGGCAGGTTCACCTGGACAGGTAACCAGTCTATCACAGGGCTACACTTAGAGACAGACAACCAAGCACACTCACATTCACACCTACGGACAATTTACAATCACCAATTAACCTCAGCATGTTTGTGGACTGTGGGAGGAAGCCGGAGAACCCGGAGAGAACCCACGCTGCACGGGGAGAACATGGAGACTCCACGCAGAAAGATCCCGGGTGTCCTCACCGGGACGTGAACCGGCGACCTTCTAGCTATGAGGCGACGATGCTAACCACCGAGCCAATAACTAGACAAAGACTACAAAAATAATAATAATTTAAAAAAAGAAAACCTCTAAACTTTTTGATGAAACACAGAAGTATATGAAGCAACAGCCACCACAGCATGCAAGCTATGGATCAGTTGATGTCTGGAGATGGATCAAATTACAGCAATTTTTCTTTATCTGACAAGAAACAGCAAGTTGTGGAAAAAAAAAACTTGGATTACAATCTCTTGAAGTAATCCTACTGTGAACAGAATCCCTGGGGAAGTAAAGGAAACAATACTGCCATCTCATTGAATGAAGTTGTACCTTTGGTCCCGGTAATCCCACGCCCTCTGGTCCGACCTCTCCTAACAGGCCAGGAGGCCCCGGGAGTCCCTGAGACACAGTTTGTAAAAGTGGAGCTGAGTGAGGTTCGGAGTAACTGTGAAGTGAGAACAGAGGCTGTGATGTACTTTATACTCACCGGAGCGCCGGGGAAACCGTCGCCTTTCAGCCCGGGTGGCCCAGCAGGCCCCGGTGGCCCTCTGTCGCCCTACAAACCACAGATACTTGTGCTTATTTACTGGGGAGGATCGATAAAGAACAAACTTGAACTGAACTCACCTTGGGTCCAATCAAACCATTTCCCGGCTCTCCCACAGCTCCAGCTGGACCTCGTAGACCCGATTCCCCCTGACAAAAATCACAAGTAGATCAATTGCTGCTGGCGAATGTTAGGGCAACTTTAGCCGAGCAGACGTGGACCAACCTTAGCACCAGGTATACCCCGGCCTGGGGGTCCAGTTAACCCTGGTGGCCCCACACTTCCTGGTTCCCCCTGGGAGTAAAAGAACTCATCAGACTTGCATGACACAAGATAACAAGGTGGGATTCAGACATTTGGAGTTTGATTGTAAAAACTATCTTAGGTTTTAAACTGACTAACTGATTAGTCACCACCAGAAAATAAGAAGTAGATGTTTTCATATTTATTGCTTTGTTTAGGCAGTTTTACATTTTAATTTTTGTTTTTAGTTTTTTTCACCAGTTACACTTTCTTTAGATATTTTCATGTTTTTCTCCCTTATCTTTGTAAAATGAGTGTCATTGAGTTTTGGCCCATTAGTGAGATTTAATGTACATTTTAAAGCATCACATTTGTTGTGGGGAACTTGTAATATCAAATTCTACACAGTTTGCTAACACTTTACAGGCAAAACGACTAAAATACGTGGACGGTTGATCAATAAAGACGATATCCTTAATTGTTTCTCTTCCTCCTCTCACTGGTTTGCAGACAGGTCAGCTCTGGGCAAAGGAAAATAAGTTCATTTCATCCATCCATCATCTATACACCGCCTAATCCTCACCAGGGTCATGGTGGGCTGGAGTCTATCCCAGCTGACTCAGGGTGAAGGCAGGTTCACCTGGACAGGTAACCAGTCTATCACAGGGCTACACTTAGAGACAGACAACCAAGCACACTCACATTCACACCTACGGACAATTTACAATCACCAATTAACCTCAGCATGTTTCTGGACTGTGGGAGGAAGCCGGAGAACCCGGAGAGAACCCACGCTGCACGGGGAGAACATGGAGACTCCACGCAGAAAGATCCCGGGTGTCCTCATTGGGACGCGAACCGGCGACCTTCTAGCTGCGAGGCGACGATGCTAACCACTGAGACACCTTGCAGCCCAATAAGGTAATTCTTAAAAGCAAATTCCTGCATTTTCCAACCTGTATCTTATTTTTTTTCTGCACCACAATGTAAAACAGACACATTTTTCGCTGGAGAGCAGCAACATCATTTTAGGTTTAAAGCTGTGGAACATCTGTGTAAAATTACTCTGACATTTTTACATAAAATGCTTCCTCTGTGCGTGTCCATACCTTCGGCCCCATCGGCCCCACAGGACCGACTGCACCTGGCTGCCCTCTAGAGCCCCTGTCCCCTCTGTCTCCCTGAAAAACATTACACAAAAGTGTCCTCTGAACAATCCTCTGAATCAAATGTGACTTTTAGATAATCACTCTTTGGGACATAATCAGAAGACGATGGGCTCTTGTAACTCACATAAAGCACAATAATCATCCATATTTTTCCATGCACTCTGTATAAACTGCTACCTTCTCTCCTGGGACACCTTTACCAGGAGCCCCGTCAGGTCCCCTGGGCCCCTGTAGCCCAACGTCACCCTGTCGTCATTTGGAAAAAAATCAGTACAGGTGAGAGAGGACACACCGGCTGGTAGGAAATATACAAAGAGGAAACTGGTTTAGGTGATGCTACCTTTGGTCCCGGGGCTCCGTCGTCTCCTGGCTGACCCGGTATGCCTGGCAGCCCCTCGGCCCCGGGGTCACCCTGAGAGAGAAACATGCCACATAAAAGCATCAGAGGGGGAACACAGAGAACGACATAAACCAGTGATTATTCCCTGGTGTGCAGAAATCACTGAAGGGAAGGCAGCAGCTTATAGAACAAGGGTTATGCAGTCAATGTGAAGTGAACCATCTTTGCAGTATTTTGAGTTAAAAAACTAAAAAGACACCCTGTGGGGAGACTTTGATAAATTTGCAGGAAAAAAAGGGCACAATATGGGACCTTTAAAGCCAGATATACTTTAGTGTGATAGGTGAGCAGTGCCGCAGTGCATAAAGGACTTACTTTGGGTCCTGGTTCTCCCACACCTCTCTCACCTGGCAGTCCAATCTCACCTGGGAGGCCCTGATTCCCCTGAAGGTAACATTCACACAGTCGGTGAGGCGTTCAGGGTGTTTTTATATTGTGGAGCTAATGTAGTAACTGACAGATAACAAGGAGCGAGTAAAACATGAATTTAAGAATTTCTGTGATCTGTTTGTTGAAAACAAAGTTAAATGGGACAGCTTGCATTTATTCCACGTTTAACAATTCCCATAAAAAAGAAAATAAAAATACTTTCACATAGGCAGAGAAGACAGATCTCCACATCTATAAGTGTAAATCTTTTAAAAAGCACAAATCAACTACCTTATACCACTTGGACCTGCTTGAGTTCCTTGAAGACGTTCCACGTCTCATCCAAGAGGCTTCATCAGTTCTGACTGACTAGTTGGGAGTTCCACATACTGATATCCTTAAAGAGCCATTAACACCTGAGTTTCGGTTTCAATTGGGGGTTTGTTGCTAACATTGAAACTCAGGTGTTAATGTCTCCTTCAGGATATCAGTATGTGGAACTCCCAACTAGTCAGTCAGAGCTGATGAAGCCTCTTTGATGAGGAACTCAAGCAGGTCCAGTTGCTAGGATTAAACTATGAGAACAACTGTGACCTGGATGACTGAGAACCTTCACAGACCCCTTACTCATAGACTAAAGCCACAGGCCAATTTATTATTATTGTATAGAATAAACATCAAGTAACAGCCTTCACATAATTTTATCTATTTGTGAAGTAACAACAAAAAAAAACAGTTATTGCAAGTTTCCAAACGATTTTTTATTTGACTAATTTTGTTGAACAATTTTAACAAAGAACTGCAGCGTCTTATGTCGAGTGTTCTGGTGAGTATTACTGGATAGTGGGGAGATCGACTCAAACTGGGGAAAGACACTGAAATCTATTTTAATTTGAAAATACAAATTATATACTCAAATATAAATTGAAAAATCTGAATTTGAGCACAGAACATAAATAGAAGTGCCGGAAAATCTAATCTAAGAAGCAAACCTTCAATTAACCTGAACTAAATGTGTCTCTGATGATAAATCGTCCATCAGCAGCAGCTTCTTCTGAACCCGGTGATTGATTCAAACTCAGAGGCACCTGATTAACAAATCCGCCGCATCTCACCGTCACATTTGTCTGATTAAATATTCTAAAATTTTGCCGCAGTTAGACAGAGACTCAACTGACTGCCAGTCACAGTTAGTTTGTGTTTAAGAGACAAATATGGTTCAGCTAACGGAGCTCCCTCCTCTGTCCTACCTTGGGTCCTTGAATCCCTACACCTGGAATTCCTCTGGGTCCTGCGGGTCCAACTGGGCCCTGATCACCCTGCGAGAAAGAAGATTAAGTGAAGAATAAATCAACAAATCAAACCAAGGCAAAGGGAGCAGGTGGGAGATGCTGGTAACTTTATTTTATGGTCTTTCTTTTCTAACCTGATCTCGCTGACAGGAAGTCAGAGTTACAGTGTTATAGGATTAAGGTCTTCGGTTTGAGCCGTGAGTTTCTACCATAAACATCAGTCAGCGTCAGCAGTCTGACAGTAATGCAATTTTTCTGACATTCAAATACATTTAGATCGGATTTTCCAGGAGAAAAACATTCACTTCAGGCTCACAGATGTAAACATCACGACGTGGCCCTTTACAGAAACTTTACCTTTCTGGCAAACCTTTGACGATGCCGTCGCAAATTTGCAGCAATGTCATATTTTCAAATGTAAATTAGATTTGTGGCAAACTTGCGATGGACTTCTGGTTAACTTTGTGGATGACTTCATACATTTCAGGCTGCCAGTCCATCGCAGGGACACAAAGACGCAGAAAGTCAGTCACCTGCACACCTAGAGTCAATCTGGAATCACTGTTTAGCCACTCAAACTTTGTCCTGCATGCAGACATCCATCATGCACACATGGGAGGGACGAAATTTAGGAAACTATAAACACTAGCCTTAAATTATTGCAATTTCCTCACATCCTCAGCTGTCCCTGTGCATGTCCACAAAATAGTCTAAATCAGGTTTATTTGTGTGTATGCGGTTAGAATGCCACTCCTTCCAACAGACAGAGCATTTGTGCAATTATTGCCTTTTCTCCTTGAAGTCCTAAACCAGGAGCTCCAACTGGACCTGGGATTCCTGGCGGTCCACGATTGCCCTGATGAAAGATAATAGAAATGCAATGATTGAACATCCGTGGATGAAAACTGAAAACACAGATAATGTTGCAGTGTCAGTAAAGGTTGAGTAAACATCTGAAGGGTTTGCTCACCTTGTCACCTTTGACCCCGATGCCAGGAAGCCCACGGTTGCCCCTCGGACCGTCGTACCCCCGATCACCCTAAAACAAAGATGATGAATCTGACGTTGCTGTTCTCGAAGCAGTTCTTTAGATTTAATCGTATACATTTTAATGAAACAGATTGTTTTGCTTTTCACCTGCAGCAGTCAAACGTACAAATGTCACGTTTTTGTCCATCACAGAAAAGATGCAGAGAACAGGTCGGTGGCGGTTTGGATCTGATATGTGATTTTAGTACTACTCTTATGTGTTATGTGTAAAATTTGCATTTTTACATAAAAGTACAAACACTGTCTACTATTTATTAACCATAAGCTGATTTAACTGTATAAGGACAGTAATAATAACAGTAGCGCACTTTCTTAAACTGCAGTTTTAAGGTGTTGCATGAACACGGATGTTGCTCACCTTCGGTCCTGCAAACCCTTCTCCAGGAGGTCCAGGGTTTCCTTGTGCTCCAGGTGGTCCCGGTGGTCCCTGCAACAAGCACAACGAAAACCTGCATGTGTGAAGGCTTTAGGAAAACATTAAATAGCAGACAGCCGACTACGAGATGGAGGAGAGGGCTGTAAGACGATGTGGCAGAATCAGTGGTGCAACAGGTGGCAGCCGGGGTTGAAATGGATTTGAAAAGTTTTAATTCGCTGAGAACGAGACATCAGTCTGGTGTAGCTTTCTATATACTCCATCAGTGCTGTTGGTCGTATGAGTGTATTCATGTCTTCCAAGATCCTGCCACTCATAATACGTAACTAAAAGTCAACCTTATATGAGATTTTAACGCAATCACATCTTTTATCTTTGTACTCACTAACAGTCCTGGTTCTCCTATTCCAACAGGACCTGTGGGACCTGGTCTTCCCTGAATCCCTTTTTCACCCTGTAAGCAGACAGCAACTTTAAACACCTTCCAGTAATTCATCAGTCAGTGATAGGATTTATTCTATCATTAAGACTGAACAACAATTTATCCTCTATTGGAGAAACCAACCTATTTAACAAGAATGGTCTCAAAAATGTTCTGCAACTCCTAAAATGTGTCCATTAGAGGCCCAAAGTCAAGCATAACTCCTTCATTGGGTTTTATTCATATGAGTTTAAGCATGGATTTGGGAGAAAGGCTGCACTGTATGACTATGGAGGAGGTTTTTACAGTAGAGTTCATGTAAACGCGTCACCTTGGCTCCTGGGAATCCAATACCGATGTCTCCTGGCGGTCCAGGTGCACCGTTGGGCCCTCTGTCTCCCTGTGACAAGTAAACTAGTTCAGAGGTTTGTGGGTGATGTGGTAGCAACACAACGCTGCAAACAGATCAGCAACATGTTAAATGAAACGATAAATCCCTTCCAGAAACGTACAGCTGTCCCTCTCGTGCAGTAAGTCATTTATAAACCACCATCTGACTTTTTAAACATAATTTCTCCTCACTACACTAATACTACATAACTGTAGTAATATCTGGTAGAGAATACAACAAAAAAACTTTAATTCAGTCAAACCACAGACTCTGTAATTTTATTCAATCTTTTATGGCTTTTAAGGGATGAAGAACGTCTTTCTTTCTGTAAAGCCCAATCTAGATTAATGTCTGGACATTTTGGCGAATGTGTTGTAAATCACTTGTGATTTCCTCTGGATAAAGACGTCTTTGTTAAAAAGCTGCAGAACAGCTGTATGGTGATGGAGGCATCAGCATCTTATTAGCCTTGGGCACACATTTTAAAGGTCGTTTTTCTGGGGCCGTTTTTTGTTGTTGCCAAAGCTGATATGTGACAATACAGACGCTGTGTAGGGAAGCGTCCAGGGAGCGCTCCATGTGGTTAATGCTGCAGATGAAGGACGCCGTGCGACTATTCTGAGGAAAAATGACCCCAAAGCTTGAAATGATGTTCACTAACAATGATTTGGGTCGATCAAATAATCAGGATTTTACTGACAACATTTATGATAGAAATATGTTTCTAAAGAAAACTTAAAAACATAAAAAAGTAATTGTCTCTGAAACTACAAATTATAATATTTACATTTCTGTTTGTGTACAAATTAAAGAAATGGGACATAAAATGGCAATTTTGGACTTAAGAGAGAGTCAGGTGCTTCTGGTGTTAACAGCCTTATAAGTCTGACTTATAATTTCATTCTTATATTTTTACACCTTTTTCTCATAAACACAATCCATCCATTGTCTATACACCGCTTAATCCCCACTTGGGTCGCGGGGGGCTGAAGTCTATCCCTATCCCTGCTCCTGGAGCCAGCCTCAAGTGGCTGTTCAAGGAACTGCAGATTTTGAAACTTTGGCGTTAGCTTCATTTTTCAGATTCTGTAGTGCTTGCATTGACGTACAATCCAACCAAACCAACTAGCGCGCTGCTGAAACCTAGCAGAGTGGACATGACAGTCAATGTCCATCACAGTGCTTCTTAAGCTCTCTGAGGAACTTACTTTAGATCCTGCTGGGCCCTCAGGTCCCATGTCTCCTGGTGGTCCTGTCGCACCCTGCAAACCAAATACACAAGCCCTCAGTGCAACACATAATTTAAAAACAAATGTTTTAAAAATCCTCCGTAACAATTTGTGAATTACTTTTTGTTTCTCTGACAAAAACGTTGAGCCCTGCAGCACTTAACAATCATTTATGAAGTAAAACTGAAGCGCCCGTGCTGTATGACCGATCTGCTGGGTCAAAACCAACCCACCCCCACTAAATGAAAAATACACCAGGATTAACATCAACGCTCGTGTCTTTCATTCCATTCGATTCTCAGGCCTAGCCCTCAAAAAAACATGGTTGCGGGGACACTGTGCCAGTAGCACAGAGGAGGAAGAGTGGTGCTGGGCGGCCAGGTCCCTGCACTAATCCCACCACACAAAGTCTGTTCCTGCAAAAGAATAATATCCTGCAAGCCTGGATTCACAGCTTTGGATAGCCACATTGGTATCAGGATTACCCATAATCCAATATTCACATTCCATTAGTGCAGAGTTGAATAAAAGACAAATTCCACTTCCATTTTTCATATTGGAGAGAGAACGGACTGTCTGATGTCGACGTAGTGTGATCTCTGTGTAGCAATATGACGGGCAGGCGGTGGACTGTATGTTCGGCGGCGTGAGGGACGAGAGGTTCAGGAAAAAGAAGTTAAATTCTGACGATAAAATATCATGTATATGTCAAATATTAATTTGATTTAATACATCTAACAATAAAGTAATGTTTATCACAGTTAATATTTGGTAATAGTTTAAACCCGACTAATAGTCTTCCAGCAGCGCCGAGATAAAAGTGGCTGATGGTATGCCAGTCCTGGTTTAGTGGCATATTGGTTCTACAGTGCCGCTCTTGGATGGCATGCTACTCCCAGTATAGAGGTATATTCTAATTGTACAGCACTGCTCTCAGATGGTGTGGTTTATCAGAACATAGGCGTACCTCTTTCCAACACAGGAGCTGCTTAATATTGAATGGCTGCTCTAATTCAATGCCACTTACCTAGCTTTATGACATTTTTATTTCTACCTTAGTGCACAAAAACGCGCTTGAAATAAAGAAGCTGTTCTGTTAATTTCTGTTGCAGTTGATGGTAAAGCTTTTTCATGACTGTTTATGGATGCAGCAGGTGTTAGCCTTAGTGGTGGTGTCCCTACTGGGAAACAACATATTGTGACACGAGTAAACGATGATCTAGGGTGGTATATGTTGGTATGAAATGGAATGAGCCTCGTTACAGCCGCATTTTAAGTATTCCTGATAAAAAGACACAATTAAAAATTTCTAATCTATATAGTCGGATGTATGTCGACTATTTAGTGAGCTAGGCTAAGCTAACCACAGCTACGTTAGCTCAAATATAAGCACTTGCTGCATTGACGTGTAAATTAATAATTACAACAAGGCATTTTAAAAGCCTGTAGCCAAGCAACAGAAAGGACCAGAATAGTTTAATGTTTAGTTATTTCAATCACAAGAATACATTCGTGACAGTGTTTGTCCTAAAGTTTCGTCATAAAATCTACACATCGTATACTAGTTGGTGCTGATATCAGAGTCTGAATATCAACCAACAGCAGCAAACCACCATCATATTTATATAAAATATAAGCACCATACCATCTAAAAGTAGCAGCGTGGAACTGGAGAATCAGAGCTACAAGCTAAACAACAAGAGAAGCATGTGACAGACTGCAATTTTGACCTGATGATGGCGGTGGATGAAATTCAAAAGGTTTCTGAAAGTTATCAGACAATCATGAGAATCCAGCAAACAGTTGTTGAGATAATTCACTCAAAACTACAAAAGTGAATCTCACTGTGGCAGTAGAAAGTCAGAGGAACACCAAGTCCGTATATAGGATCCATCCACTGGGAACCATGAATATTAGTGGAGACCCAGTTAATCAAGTAGATGTTAAATCATTCCACATGGTAAATGAAAACTTAAGTTTGAAGTTCAGGTCTTTTTTCTTACTTTTTTTAGCCTTCAATTTTTGTTACAGCTACTAGCAATTCATTCGGCAGTAAGCATGAAGAAACTAAAATCACATCAGGATAGAACTACAAAACATCTACTAGAGGTTTTTAAACTGATCAAACCAAGATTCATAATTGTCACTGTTCACCTCCGACAGCAGGCCACTCTACCTGTTCTCCTTTTGGTCCTCGTGATCCTGGAGGTCCCTCAGGTCCCTGCAAGGCGACACTTAACTTAATTATGAGGACAAAGCCTGTGGCATTTGTTTAAATACCTCAGCAAATAATGAACTTACAGCGTCGCCCTTTTCTCCAGGAGTGCCACAGTCTCCTCTCTCTCCCTGTGAGACCAAACACATAATTAGATCTGTGGAGTTCTTTAACGAGAATAAAGCTGAACTGAAATAGCACAGAGTCACTCACCTTGTTGCCCTTATAACCTGGACGGCCCTGTAAAAGTTTAGAAATCAGTGTTTCATCTACTAGGCAGCATGTTACTTGGTAGTCGGGCCAAAAAAACGGGAAACATTTTTACCTCTGGACCGTCACCTCCAGGTCGACCGTTCAAGCCAGGCTCCCCCTTTCAAAAGAGGCCGATTTACAATTAGCTGCACACTAAAACATTTCAGAAAGACCTTGTTTTATGACTTACCCTTGCTCCTTTTGAGCCAGGTGACCCTCTGAAGCCTGGGTCTCCTTTTCTACCCTGAAAATAATACAGGCACAAAGATGAAGAAATACAGAGCCGCCCAAACAGAATGATTATCCCATACAGCAGAAAACTAATGTCTTCATATGAAACTCCTCCATTATGACGATGACAGTGTTTTGTTTCTGAGAACTCACAGGACTTCCTGGAGGGCCTCTCTCTCCTCTTTCACACAAGCACACTTGGGCTTGTGGACACTAACAGAGAGAAAAATAAAATGTCAGTGCGACCATTTACACCAGTTAACTAGAGAAGCAAAGAAGAAAAAACTCACCCCTTCAAATGCGACTGCACCCTGGAGGCAAAACATGACAGAAAAATGTGAATGTCAGTTCAGTTTCATTTACGAACAGGAAAGATCAGTTCATTATTTGCTCATGACCATCGGTGAGATATTGGATCCTTGTACACACACTTGTTAAAATCCCCAAAACAACCGGACTGAACGAGAACAACTGCAAATGAAGCTGATGCGTTCTGAGTACAGTCGTGACTCGATAATCCGACACTAAATGTAAAACCTTCTTTTATGTCGGATATCAAGGCTGTCGGATTGTCAAGACGGAGGTCCAGATACAAGGAGGGCTTGATGCTGGAAGACTCATTAGTTGTTCATTATTGTTCATAGTTGTTATAATAACTAGTAGGGCTGGTCCCAGTAGAACTTTCTGCTCTCTGGATATTCAGGCCCAATTAATGATGAATATCTGAATATTCGGTGCGGTGGGGGACACTTCCACCCCGGGGCAGCGCTCTGACGGGGTGGAAGTGTCCAGAACACACAGGCAGTACTTGGCTGCTGATGCTAGTTTAGTTAGCGCTCACACTTCTGTTTCCTCCATCGGTGGCGGCGGGGGAGTGGCAGATACGCTCCACCGTTACCATCCATGTTTACTTCCATAAACACTGAGCATGCTCGCTGCGTGTGACGTCGTCGTGTGCTCTTCTGCGCATGCGGGACACTTTTGGGTCGTATGAAGTTCACACAGCAGATCACATACAAGTCGCATTGAAGTGGAAACGTGAAGGAAGTCACAAAGAAATCCTCATTGAGCATCAAGTCCTGCAGTGTGAACGTAGCCAATCTGTGGGATTGTTCAGTCAGATAATACGCCGTCATCCTGATTGGTGACATTAAATGTCATGTTGGAGTCAGAATCCAAGGCTGTCGGTATGCTTTCGGATTTTTAAGGGTCGGAGTATCATGTCACGACTGTATTTGTGGTGGTTTTGTGTCTATGTTAGAACCTTATGTGTCTCTTTCACTGACTGTATATAAAGATGGACGAACCCTCTGTTACGTCACTCGTAGGTTCTGCAATCATCAGTTTTGAAGCTCACTGGGCTGTGTTTTTGAGCAGTACTTGACTCCTACCTCCAAGGTAATCTCTTTGTCGCCATTCTGTTGCTCGTTGTCGTGGGTTTTGAGTTGTTTTGCTGTTCTTTGGAGCTGCTTGGTGCTGTCCCCTGACTCTTTGGGTCTGCGCTGTAGGCCTGTGCAGTAATCCATCCACGTTTATGACCAGATTAACCTCCCCAGGGAATAATAATATTTAAACACTACATATGATTGCGAAAATAAATGTTGTTTGCAGCCTTACAGCTCTTCTGTAATGAAATAACATGACTTGGCAGGTTTTTTTTTTTTTTTTAGTTTTGATCACTTGACGCATGAAAAATGGAAGCAATCTGATAAAAGACAACTTTGCAGAATATAAAGTGTAACAACTGAGTGGTTAAAACTACATTTTCATGAGACAAAGGCAACAAGGAAAGGGGTAGAGAATCTATCATTGTTGATGTTGTGCTTTCATTGTGCAAATTTTTAATAAATGTATGATTATTTAAATTATATCAGACCAAATCAGGCGCTGAGGGCACCTGAGGATTTGCAGACCAACTGAGCAAAGAAGGGAAGTAATTCAGCTCTGTATTTGATGGAACCACTGGATATCTTCCTCTCTCATCTGCCCATCTTTTCTGCCAAATGTGAATGAATAATATCACACATGTCTGGAAAGCAGAACAAGCCATGCCAGTCTGTCAGACAGACAGACCCCGACCCCCTGCAGATATGTGACATTTCTGTGTGGTGTGGAAAATGCAAAGCAGGCGGGAAAGCACCGCCATGCAGACACAACTCGGTGACTTAAGACTTGAACCCGCTGTGAGGACAGAGTGTGCAGGAACAACACAAACACACTGGAGACACCATGTGGAGCAGCATGAATAGGCACAATCTCAACCAGACAGACACAGCAGCAGCAGATGTCAAAAATTTTTCACACTTCCAACCAAACAAGATGGAGAATGTGAGCGACGTCAGATGGCTTAGTCAGTTTAAATGAAGTTCTAGGTGTCAGTGGCATAGCTAACCTCAATTTGTTATGAATCTGTTCTTGGCAACAGTTAGGATGAAATAGCAGTGTTAGGATCGTTAACCTAAACCCCAAAACCTGTCAGCGGGTTTGAAAGGCGTGTTATCTTTTAAAAATCGCCCTAATTTCACTAAGTTATGTTTTATGCAATTACATGACATATTATATGATATCACTGTGGTATATTGGACAAAATAGATTTGGGAGTTCTCTCTAATTCTAGCCAAGGTTGAGCCAAAGTTTCCAAAGAGGTGCTGGACTTTGTCTTGCAGTGAAACATGAGCCCACAGAGAGTAGAAATATGACAGGAGGAAACAAAATGAGCCAATAAAGTCAGCAACCTCCAACATGTGCGTTTATGACCGGTCCTTTTTCTTCATATCCCACACATAGCTGCTTTATTAAACATGACCATTATTTTCAAGCCCAGGACTTGTCCCTCATAGCACAAAATCAACTGGTGTAGCTGTGATGCAATGATGCACTTTAAGATGTTTCTATTGTCAGCACAGGCATCATGTCACTGGAAGCCAACACTCACCATCTCTTTAAGCATCTTCTCCTCCAGCTGAGAGTCAAGAAGACTTTGGACAAACTGCTGAGCAGGCGTGCTGGCGATGGCGCGGAGCTTGGCGTTATTCTGACTCTGCTGGGCGATATCCGACAACCCGACGGCGAAGAACTTTATGCTGTGACCTTTGGCCTCTGCAGCAGCCGCTATCACATCTGGGTTACGGGGATGATCGACTCCGTCCGTCATCAGTACAGCAACCCTGACGCTGTCCACCGGCGTCTCCTGCACCAGCAGCTGCGAGGCGTTGGTGATGGCATAGGTGGTGTAGGTGCCGTGCCCGATGTAGTTCATTGTGCTGACTCGACTGTGGAATGAATCCAGGTCTTTCCACGCTGAGAATCTGTGCTCGATGGACACGGAGCTGCTGTATTGAAGTGCAGCCATTCGCACCTTCAGTGTCCAGCCGGCTACCTGCAGCATGGAAAGCCGGGTGCTGAAGCTCAACACAAAGGCCTTCTGCCTCTCAAATAGGGATATTTTTGCACTCTCAGAGCTGTCCAGGATGAAGGCCACCTCCAGTGAACATGTCAGACCTGTGGGAGAAGGACATTTAGACTCTGGTAAATCTAGAAATATCTATTGAGAATTTTAGAGGCCATGGCTTTGAGAGATAACAATACTAATTTTAGGATTGGTGGTTTAATTCCTGGTACCTCCTGTTCACATGTCAAAGTGCTCTTCAGCGAGACATGAAGTTGCTCTCAAGTAGTGGACCAACAGCGTGCATGGTAGCTCACTGTTAGCAGTATGTGATAACATCATCAGTTGATGTAACTGGAAGTTAAACCTGCAGTGTGGAACTTTTGTCTTCCCCCTTTTATCAGTGACAGTAATCACACAAACACTGTCAATGTGTCGTTATGACGTATACCTCGCTATCAATTCTCTTTTAGACTGAAATCCTTCCTCCCAATGGCTAGTTTCTTTTTTTATCTTGATCATCAGAAACTTTTCGAGCACACTTCTCAGATTTGTCCTCCACAGGCTCCATCATAGTTGACATGGACTTCTTCTTCTCCATTGCCACTGTTGCTCGCTGTTGCTTGGATTTGGTTAGCACCGTCGCCTCGCAGCTACAAGGTCGCTGGTTGGCGTCCCGGTGAGGACACCCGGGATCTTCCTGCGTGGAGTCTCCATGTTCTCCCTGTGCAGCGTGGGTTCTCTCCAGGTTCTCCGGCTTCTTCCCACAGTCCAGAAACATGCTGAGGTTGATTGGTGATTGTAAATTGTCCATAGGTGTGAATGTGAGTGTGCTTGGTTGTCTGTCGCTTAGTGTAGCCCTGTGATAGACTGGTTACCTGTCCAGGTGAACCTGCCTTCACCCTGAGTCAGCTGGGATAGACTCCGCCCCCCATGACCTGAGTGAGGATTAAGGTGTAGGGATGATGGGTGGATGGAAGCTTGGATTTGAGGAATTTGACTTTTTTTTTGGATAAATGACGAAACCATTAATCATTGCAGCTCCACTGTGAACTGGCCTTCAAACCATCCCAGGACAGTCTGACTCTAAAAATTGACTCGTCCAGGTGAGACCTACCTGAGTTTGTTCACTAGTGTATCAGCATTAGTCTCAATGTGTGCTGATACATCTAGTTGGTTAGAATTACAAACATACAAAGGCATGATGGCAAAAACACAGCTACAAATAGGATGAAACAATGTGGTACTGTCCAAGGGAATGACACGCATCAAATCTTAATTAAAATTTCTTCGGTTAGACAGTTTTTAACCTTCAAACAGTTTATGCATCCTATGAATTGTATTTTATGAAATGAATGCTTCTCATTTTCTCAATGTCTTGCTGATTTAATATTTTTCACGCTTGTTCTCAGTTTCTTTTTTTTCCTGACAAATTTAAGGTAAAGAAAAACTGACGATGAACCCACCGTGACCTGCTGAATTTCTCAGTTCTATCACTTGAATAAAAAGCAGCACTAAATGCAAAATACATATTAAAAACACCTACGAAAAACACAGGTTTAGCATGACTCATGCAAGCGCTTCTTAGGCATATTTTTCGTGATGCGAATCACTGGTGGCCTGAATTTTATCTTGTTGTTGTCTGACTAAACAGTTGAGCATTTCACCCTTTCCTGAAGTCTGTTCCGCCCACAGAATCCAGTGACTAACATTCACCTTCAACATGTGGAGACCTCATATAAAAAAAATTACCATTTCCTCCATCATCATGCAGCCTGTAGTTATTCCTGCGTCCTGTCTTTCTTCTTTGGCCTGTGGTGTCATGCACAAGAGCCAGCAGCAGAAAGCAGAGCGCCAGTCCTCTGCTCAGGTTTCCCTTCAGCAACATTTCCATCCTCGCAGCTGACAGCAGATAGAGAGCTTGTTACAAGAAGAGCAAGGAAGCGCTTTAACCTACAGTATGTGCAAAGCATGACAAATTCTCTCAGTGTCATAAGATTCCCCTGTTTTATGTGTTAGTATCACGTACCCTGCTAACCACACCCAAGTGCAGTTTCACAGTATTGGCAGTAATGATAATGACACCTAATTTGCTCAGATGATACTGTTCCTGCATCCATACTGAAGATGTAAATGCACGGAAAGCCAAAACAATCTGTGCAAATGCTAATTTGTCTAAACAGGTTTTAAATATTGCAGCCTTTAAATAACATGAAATAAAACTTATTTCATGTGCAGTTTAAAAACTAACTTTTCCCCATCACTGACGTGGTCCAAGCTGCAGCACTCACATTAAAGTTGTCATTCAGACTGTAACGTGACACCACAGCCACATAAATGAAGAGTACATACATGCAAAAACGTCTGGAATCCAAGGGAAAGGTGCCTTTTTTACCTCCAGTCTCATTTAGCTGCGGCCGGTGCTCGAGGTCCAGTCAGCTGTGGCTCTTTGGGAGGCATTTCGCCGCGGATTCGGGTCCCTATAAAGCCCCAGACTGAGATCAAGTGAGGACCATGAGATGGGCTGATGTGTAGCCGGGGGCTCTGGGGCCGCTCCAACATTTACGCGCTGCTCCACTTCAGAGCGAATTCAGGGATCTTCCTGACGCTTCTGTTCACAGACTAATCCTGGAATCCTGCAGTCATATCACTGTAATATCAGAGCAACCTATTTACAATTCTTAAAACTTCCCACTGTTGCACAAACAATAAATCCACATCAACATGAAATGAAACATCCTTTGCGCTTTGTAAGAATAAACGATGTTTTCCTGCTCTGGAGTCCAGTGTTTCTTATTCCAGACCACTTGTGCCACCTTTTACACACGTTGGGGGCTTACACAGCTTTTTTAAATTTTCGTTTTACTACTAGTGTTTTGGGTTGTTGCGAGTGGAGATGGCTTGGATGTTGTGCGTAAAAGTCCCAAATGAGATTCTACTTTTCCATCCTCGCCCACTAATGTGAAAACCAGATGAGCTGCTGTAGTAGGATGATTCCCGTGTACAGCACAGATATTAATTCCTATTTTACAGGTCGAATCAACTAAATATTCAAAAGACATGCATGTCATATCGCCCAGTATACATCTACAGCTTCTTGCTTGTAGTTATCCTCATCTCTGCATTATTTTACCTGCTCTATGCCTAAGTTTATAATCAACCCAGTTCTTTTGACTGGTCGAAGCAGCTTTAAAGGATCGACTGAAATCATATAATACAGTTTTGAATGCCATAAATGCATCTTGCGTTGTGAAGGATTATGTTTAATAACATATGACAACAGGAAAACAGATCATTTCTTTATCATAGTAGTTCCAGAAACGTTCAAGTCTCACAGAAGCATACCTTTGCTGTCACCATGGAAATAAAGTTTTTGGTATTTGCAGCTGTTGACGGTTATAAACTGGACAAAAACCTGCTTTCGACACGACAACTGCACCCTCTGCTGGTGAACCGTCTCCTTGGGGCTGCGAAGCGGAACCCAAAGCGTCTGACGCGTCTAACTGCACGGACATGTTTTGGTGTAACACACAACATCCTCTGGGGCTCCAAGTTGTCCCTTCCCGACATGTGTGTGTTAAATCGTGACTCGCCTGCTCGTTTAGACCCACTGTTTGTGTGTAAGTGAGACCTCGTCGGTATTAATGTCAAATGTTAGCTAATGTTTTCGACCGCTGGCTGATTTAGCGGAAGCTAAGCAGCTACGGTTTAGCTCGCCCTTCACCTGTTAGCCCTGTTAGCATTAGCTTAGTGAAAGTAGCATGTCAACAAACTTAGAAGCTTTATTAATGTCACACTTTGGCATTTGGTAAATTTCTTAAATATGTTACTACCTTTACCTGTTTTTGTTTTTACTGTATCTAGATATGCTTCTAGCTGGCTAGTTCGCACCAGGTTGCTAACTTTTAAGCTTTGTAGTAACGCTCAGATTTGCATGAACAGATCAGCTGTTTACACGGTTACAGCACTTCCAGTCATTAATGAGGTTTCTTAGTGCTGTGTGTTGTCCAGCCTGCATCCACTGCAGTAGGAGGAAATGTGTACTATCTCTGTGGTGTCACTACTATTCATCCATGTGCTCATTCCTGTCACAGTCTTTTAGGACTGTACATGATTGATGATAATATTTAATGGCATATTTTTAATTTAAACCAAAAAGGTTTAACTTACTTGGAATTGAACTACTTTAGTTGTCAAGACACGCAGGTAATATTTTAGCAGCAATGAAACAACTGCATTTACTCAGAAATAAAAAATCAATAAGAATAAAGGATACACTTTAAAAAAAAAAAATTTTTTTAAAGCAGTCAAAACCTGGTGATTATGCTGCTGCACTGTGCTCAGGTTAAAGTTCCACCTGGTTGGCCTGGATGGGAGTCACCGGACTGAGACCCCAAAGTAAAGTCTGTCAGCTCTCAGCAGGCCTCCAGGACTGTATCGGTTTTTTAATTTATTTATTTGACCTTTATTTTACCAGGTAAACATGTTCAACCAGTTCTCATTTGCAAACATGACCTGGCCAAGAGGCGCCAGCAGGAACAAATACACATGTGAATTACAGACACAAATAGACACATAAACACAACATAGAACAAAAGTAAACAAGTAAGAAGCATGGAGGCATATGCATGTGAGTGAGAAAAGATGTGCATGAGGTGTAAGAAAGTGTGTGTGTGTGTGTGTGTATATATATGAGTGTGTAAGTATAATCCGGTGTGATCAGTAGGAGTCAACTGCAATCTGTTGGATTTTAAGCTTGAAGGTGGTGAACGGAGTCAGAGTTGCAAGTTTGAGAGTGTTTTGTGAGGTGTTCCAGTCATTAGCGGCTGCAAAGCAAAAAGAGTTACGGCCAAAAAGCTTAGGCTGAGGTGGTAATGAACTCAGGGTTGTGGGGCTTTTTAGACCTTTTTTTTTTTTTAGACCAGCCTCCACCAGGGTTGGTCTGCGGGTGCAGATAAGGGTGACATGAGGCCCAGGCAGCTGTGGAGTAGTGTGCCTTAGGAGATTGAGGGACCGGTACCATTATCAAGTACTGTGACAGACAGTTTAAGAGCACACATGGAGTTTGTTCATGCAATCAAACTGTGACGGTGGCGGTTTGTATCTAATGCATTTACGTGAAACTATTCAATTCTGTTTTATTAAACAATCTTCCTTTGACTGTGAAGTGTGAATCACCGATGCTACAGTCCTACTGTCTGTCATAGGGCTGAAAAAATAATCAAAATATCATTGAAATGCAAAATATACTAACTTAGGCTCTGTGGTGCTACAGAGATGCCCTGGCCTGCAGATCATATTCTTCAAGCATAAGTGAACTTGCTGGTTTGGCAGCAGACTGCAGTAAAGATTGCATCACTTTTTCCATTTTTAATGCAAAGGAAATGCACTTAAAAAAAAAATATATATATATATATTGCCAAAAATTGTGACTGATGTTGCATCTATCAAAAGTAGTCGCCATGATGTTTTTGTTTGTTTGTTTGTTTTTGCATGTTATTCATCCTTAATCTGTCGTTTTCTAGGTTGTGGAAGGCAGACTCCTTTAAAGCCCTTCTAGCTGCTTTTGAATCATGAGTGGCTCAAAGCCGGACATCCTGTGGTCTCCCCACCACCCGGACCGCTACGTCATCTGTGACTCTGAACTGGGACTGTACCGTATTGGACCTGTGGGCAGCGCAGAAACGAAAGCTGGCACCCTCCCACTCTCTGAGGAAACTGCTGCTACTTTGCTAGCCATTAACTCTGACACCCCGTATATGAAATGTGTGGCCTGGTACCCAAAGCATGAGCCTGAGTGTTTACTCGCTGTGGGCCAAGCAAACGGCAGAGTTGTTCTCACCAGCTTGGGCCAGAGCCACAACTCCACATGTAAGGAGCTGGTGGGGAAAGAGTTTGTGCCCAAACATGCCCGTCAATGCAACACTTTAGCCTGGAACCCTGTGGACAGCAACCTACTAGCTGCTGGATTGGACAAGCATAGGGCAGACTTCTCTGTGCTTATATGGGACATCAGCAGTAAGTTTGCCCCAGAGACCAGTGTAGCTGCTGAGAAGATTCGTCTCCCATCCGTGGATTTGGACTCGAGCACAGTAGTGACCAAACCTTTGTATGAGTTAGGCCAGAATGATGCATGTCTGTCCCTCTGCTGGCTGCTCCGTGACCCAAAGCTGCTGTTGGCTGGTATGCATAGGAACCTTGCGATATTTGACCTGAGAAACACGAGCCAGAAGACGTTTGTCAACACTAAGGCCATCCAGGGGGTGACTGTCGACCCGCACTTCCATGACCGCGTGGCTTCCTTCTTTGAGGGTCAGGTGGCCATTTGGGATCTGAGGAAGTTTGAGAAGCCTGTGCTAACCCTCACAGAGCAGCCCAAACCACTCACTAAGGTAAGATGCTGTTTATCCTTAAGGAGGTGAAGTAGGAGGCGCACCATGTTTGGCTGAAATGGCAAAAGCTTCCAGCACTTTACTGGAGAATCTTTCTTGTTTGAATTGAGATTCTGTAGAAAAACCTTGACACAGTTATTGAAGTGATGTCTTTTTTTCCTCATTCTCAGGTGGCGTGGTGTCCAACTCGGACTGGCCTGCTGGCAACACTGACGCGTGACAGCAACATTATCCGCCTGTACGATATGCAGCACACTCCGACGCCCATCGGCGATGAGACGGAGCCCACCATCATCGAACGCAGCGTGCAGCCCTGCGAAAGCCAAATCGGCAGCTTTGCCTGGCACCCGTCCTCTCAGAACCGCATGGTGGTGGTGTCGGCAGCCAACCGTGTCATGACTGACTTCACCGTGTTTGAACGCATCTCGCTGGCCTGGAGTTCCACTACCTCACTCATGTGGGCCTGCGGTCGGCATCTGTATGACTGTGTTGAGGATTCGGCCGAAGGCATCGAGAGCATGATTGAGAAAGACATCGCCACCAAGATGAGACAAAGGGCTCAGTCCAGGTATGGTCACGACACCGTCCAGGTGTGGAGGAATCACCTGCTGGCAGGAGGGAATGATCCCCAGCTCAAGTCTTTATGGTGTGATCTGTTCTATATCCTTAACGAGGATGAAGTGAAGTAAATACCTGCATATTGGGGTAGTAATGTATTAGTCAAGAGAAGTAAATTCACTGGTATTTTTATAGCAAAGTTAAAATAAAATAAAATTATAGGCCCAAAGTGCTTTCCAATAGGGAAGAATAATAAACAGATTTAACAGTCTAACTCAGGGGTCTCAGCTGGGATAGACTCCAGAAATAGATAGATAGATAGATAGATAGACTCCAAATTAGGGTATTATCAATAAATGTTTCCAAAAAAATGTAGTTATTAAAATGTTAAATTAAGAAAAGTATGTAACAGCTATATAGATATAAATCACCTCAGGTCAAGACCTTTCAATATTAGTTTATATAGAGATAATTTAGTCAGACAGTTTGCAGTTGCTTGTGTTTAAATCAAATAATTCATCATTGCAGCTCTACGATGGTTGACCTACTTCTCTAAAGGCTTCGTATATGATAGATATTGA